AAACTGAAATTGGATTTTTAAAACCTCATCTTCAAAGGAGCTCTGGTGGTGCAATGGTTGAAGTGTTTGGCTGTTAACCAAAAGGTAGGGGGTTCGAACCCACCAACTGTTGTGCAGAAAAAAGATGAGGCGGTTTGCTTCCATAAAGGTTGACAGCCTTGGAAACCCTGTAGGGCAGTTTTACTCTGTCCTCTAGGGGCGCCGTGGGCCAGAATCAACTCCCTGGCAGTGGGTGTGGTTTGGTTTTGGTTTGACTCCCTTTCAAACTTCTGTAGTTGACATGCAGCTATACCATGTAGATGCCCAAACTGATAGTTCACTGCTGTTGATTTTAAAAGTGTCAGTGCTTTTGTTAAAGGTCAAGGTCAATTGTTCTCTGCAGCTTAACAGGTCAGAAGCCAAGCCGGAAACACTGGTGGTGGAAGCAAACCTTGGTTTTGCTTGAATTGTCTGAGTGACTGTGGTTGTGTTAACTTGGCTCACGTTGCATCACTACATCTGAGTCACAGGTGTTGTAATAGGTACCTTTACTTCTTCATTTCATATTAACGTTCAGATGAAAGCAGAGAGGCCACTCCCACCAGTGCTCATTGTGCGTGTTTCTACGTCATCACGAGTAATGAGATTAGAATTGACCATTTGAGTAATGTGAGCAAGTCTCTGTATCTTCCTGTTTTCTAAGCTCTAAAAGGCATCGTATAGGGCATGTGAAGCAGAAAGAAGTCACCATGAAGATGCTCACTAAAATGACAACAGTGAAATACGGTATTCACCTGTTGGATTGTGAGGGTGGCAGAAACATCTCTGTATGTTTGACTTCTCTTTCCAGTGATTTATCCAGGATTATGTTGTTGGAGAAGCTATGTTTATTGAAAAAAAATTCATACATAATACATTAATTTATTTTCATAAAGACTTCCAACAGTACAGAAGGTCATAGATTGGAAAGTAAGATTCTCTTTAATGCCCCCCTCCCTGTGAACACTGGTAACATTGGGATTTATCTGTAACCTGCACATGTACATTCTGTTGTGTTACTTTTTTAGTAAAAACAAGGAAGCGATTTCCACTTGGAAAGACAGATACTTGCTGCCCTCTAGTGGTGTTTACTCAGTAGCACACAGGTTTTTTTTTTAAATTTATTTTCTCACAGTTAGGAGTCTAGAAATGTGAATGCAGGGTGTCCACCCTGGAGGAGGGCTTTCTCTCTCTGTTGGCTCTGGGGGAGGGTCCTTGTCTCTTTAGCTTCTGTTTCCTGGTTCCTTGGCTATCTTCACGTGGCTTGGCATCTGTGTTTGCTTAATCTGCTCCTTTTATACTTTCTTTGTTGCTGGTTCACTCAGTTTGTTTTGCAGTAACAGTTCAGGCCTGAACTGTGACTTAGGTTAAAACAGTAACGGTAGGAGAACATGGAGGGCCCAGGGGAGCCGCTGGGTGGTTCAAGCCTATGTATCGTTTCCCTCCAAATGCACGGAGAACTGGGGACAGGAACAAAGGTGGCATGTGAGTGGACGTGTCCACCATGGCAGCTTGTTCCCACTTCACTTTGAAATTCACAGAAATGTAGCTGATATACCTGAAGGAGTGTATTTGTGTATTTGAGTATTTTTGTCAGCATCATGATCTTATTTATTCAAAGTTGAAAGAAAGCCTTTCACTTGAAACATAAAGCCCTGGCTTTCCCTTAGATATTGGATCAGAACGGTACACACTGAGCTTCACCGTGCGGGACTCACCAGCCCATTTTGTAAACGTTGCCTCCTGGGGCAGTGAAGACTACATCAGGTCCCTTGCCGACAGCTTTAGGGTTGGCGAGTGTGGTAAGTTGGTCTTGGCTCTTAGACTGTCTTTCACAGTGTTAGTCCTGTGATGTGTTTGTGGTAACTACTGTGAGAGGTGAGAGGAAACCACACAACTCGTAACTCTCAAGACCCATAGCACAAAAGCCGAGGGTTGATTTAAGAGTGTGGTACGGGGCATTCAGTGTGCTTACTTGAGATGTGTACAAATATGGCCGCCATATACTTGTTCTAGGTAGTTTCATGATCTTTGATTTATTTCATAGTCAATTGGCATCAGCTCTATTGTTTTTAGCATCATGTCTGTGTGAACATGAGGGCCACTGAAGAGAGTTTGTTGAAAGTTGATATTTGACTTCTTAATGGGTTTTAAGAAACTTTGCTTTTAGTCTAAATCCCAAATCTTTTGCATCTTCCCCCGGCCCTGTCCCTCTGACGGTTCAGTGTAGTACAGTGGGAAGAGGAAGGACTTTGGAAACGGGGAGATCAGATTTGGATCCCAGCGCCCACATTTTTTTACACTGTGGTTTTGAAGTAATTTTTAAATCCTGTGGGCTCAACTGTAAAATAGTAAATACCACCCCGTTGGGTTCTTGTGAATGTTATGTGAGATGGTGTGTCTTGTGTAATGTGTAGAATTTGGTCATTTAGTAATTACAGCTCTAATTTCGCAAGAAGCTGAAGGGAGCGCGTGCACCGATGAGAACAGGGAAGGGAAGGGGTGATGCGGGCGGCTAAGCTGCCCCTCTCCAGCACTGCAGGGTCGAGCCACTGCTGCCCGCACCTGGAATGTAGTACTCGTCACACATTGCCTTGTCTGGTTAGCCTTTCAGGGTCATGAAATTCAGTTAGGGGCCATGCCAGGGCCCAGTGTAGAAGTTACATGCAGAGAAGCCTGGCTTCAGCATTAAACTATGTGAGACTGTTGATGGCTCTGTGAGGCGTTGATGGCTGTGTGAGGAGGATGAGAGACTTTGAAAGCTGAAGTTGGTGAACATTATAAATCCAACTTGGATACTCACGAAGGAGCTCTGCTGGCTCACTGCCTGAGGGATTTGACTGCTAACCAGAAGGTTGACTGCAAACCAGAAGGTTGGCAGTTCAAACCCACCGGCTATTATGTGGAAGGACAACGGGGCAATCTACTTCTGTAAAATTTACCATTCAGAAACCCATTGGGGGTCACTGTGAGTCAGGACCAACTCGATGGCAGTGGGTTTGGGTTTTTTCTTTTGGTTAAGGTGCTCACGAGAGAAGAGTAGACTCAGGTCAGAACAATGTGACTTCCAATTCCAGTCCTATGACTTACTGTAAGAAACTAGCTTAACTTCTTGGAGCTTCAGTTTCTTCAACTGTTAATTAGGGACAACCGGGGTGTTGGTGGTGAGAGAAATGAAAATAGAGCCGAGAAGGATGTGAGCCAGGCTCGGGGGGAAAGCTGAGGCCCTAAAAGGTTAAGTTCACCAAGCTGGTGAGTGTGGGGTGGAAGGTGTTACCCCAGCTTCTCATTGCCCTTTGTTATCCCTGTTGCCTCAGAGGGCAGCTGTTTTTGGGTGCAGATCAATTAAGGTGTTCGGGGTCTAGAAGGCACATTGTGACCAAAACCAGTATTCAGTGTAACTAATCAATAAAGCAAAGCGAGTGTGTGCTGTGTGTTGGGACTTGAATGCAAAGCATAAAAACTGTCGGCTGGGATCAAATGGTTTGTCAGGCCGCAGAATTCTGTGTCTCAGTGATGCAGGAAGATGACTGTGAAGGATCTTCAGCACCCCTCAGACAGCAGTGGCATGGCCATGGCCTTGTGAGGGCACGTGTGTATGGGTCAACGTCATGGCCTCGTGAGGGCGCACGTTTGGGCTGATGCCACAGCCTTGTGAGGGGCGTGTGTGTCTGGGTGGACGCCCCTGTGATATGTTTGTGGTAACTATACTGTGAGAGGTGAGAGGAAACAACACAACTCGTAACCCTCAAGAACCTCGTGATGGTGTGACCTCGTGAGGGTGCGTGTCTGAGTGGATACCACAGCCTCGCGAGGGGCATGTGTGTCTGGGTGGATGCTGTGGCCTCGTGAGGGGTGTGGGTCTGGGCTGACGTTGTGGCCTCAGGAGGGGCGTGGGTCTGGGTCGATGCTACGGCTTCGTGAAGGCACATGTCTGGGTGGACGCTGTGGCCTTGTGAGGGGCGTGTGTCTGGGCTGACGCTGTGGCCTCATGAGGAGCATGTGTCTTGGCTGACACTGTGGCCTCATGAGGGGAGCATGTCTGAGTCGATGCTACGGCTTCGTGAAGGCACATGTCTGGGTGGACGCTGTGGCCTTGTGAGGGGCGTGGGTCTGGGTCGATGCTATGGCTTCGTGAGGGGTGCGTGTCTGCACTGTGGCCTCATGAGGAGCCTGTGTGTGGGTCGATGCTATGGCTTCGTGAAGGCACGTGTCTAGGTGGATACTGTGGCCTCGTGAGGGGCGCGTGTCTGGGTCACTCCTACTGCTGTCTTGTAAAGCATCCTGCTTTTTCCTCTGTCTTAGTGATAATTGAAAATCCATTGGTCCAAAGAAAGGAGCTAGAAAGAGAAGAAAAGTTCAGCCCTGCAACTCCTGGGTAAGCACCCGCCCTGGCAGGGCTCGGCATCGCGGTGCTGGTAACGTGGGTGTGCCATCTCAGCACAGAAGGTGACGCCTCACTTAGAAAGTTCGGAGTTAAATGCTTCCTCACAAACTTCGTCTCTGCTTGTGATGCTTCTTCGTTTATATTCTCTGATCAGAGGTCACAAGAGTAAATGGCTTTGTTTTCAGTACTTTGATTCTCATTCTCTTATTTGCAAAAATTCAGCTCCAGTTGTGTTGAAACTGAACAGTGAGGTAAAAGGTAAAAGAAGCCTTGGGAATGACGCCTATCTGTGTGTCATGGTGTCACTCTGCTCTCGTGCACAATGTCTTAGGTCGTCTCCCTAGAAGCAGAGGCAGAGACCAGGATTCCTGTACATGGGGCAGATTTGGGGGACGCTGGGTACAGGGGCTGCACGACGGGTGAAGCTGAGTGAGGGGGGCTCCACTGCAGCCCAGCCTCTGTCTGATCCTAGTGGAGCTCCAGGCGTAAGTGGCGCCAGAGAGCGGGGGGGCTGGACTTTTGTACCCTGTGTTAGTCATTGGCTGCAGTCCAGCTCCTCTCAGGATGGGGCATAACCTTGAAGGCATTTCTAGCCAAGGGCAGTTCTCAAAAGAAGGGCGTAGCTGTGACCCTGCGCCAGCCTGGTAAGGGTGTTGGTGGCACCACAGCCCTGGGTGTAGGACACATGTGCACCAAAGCGTTTTCCTAACCACACTACATTTCAGAAAAAAGTATTCTGCACTGTTTTTCAGTGTTTCTTACGGTGAAAAGTGTACATTTCTCAATGTGGTGGTCTAAATTACAACCAAAAAAGAATTTAATTGGGAACCAGGACACGATTCTCTGTGCAGGCGTCACCGAGCAGTGAATTTGCTGTGTGTTTTTTCAATTTAGCACCTGTAAACTCTTGCTCAGTGAGAACCATTCGGCGGTGACAGTCTGCTCCCGGCGTGAAGTGGACACCAAGTTACTGCCCCTGATACACCTACCAGTCAAAGAGCCTCAGGACTATTACTCACTGGGGGACATTGTTGCAAACGGACAGAGTCTCGAGGGGCGGATTATTAATGTGCTGGCAGCAGTGAGATCGGTGAGTAGGTGGAATCTTCAGGAAACAAGTGCGACTGGGAGGGTGCAGGGAGGCCCCATCACTTAACCCTTTCCTGACCGGATTCGTTTCTGCTTTGGAATTTTGGTTGATACCATGTGTTTTCAGTAATAAGAGGCATGCTGAAATCAAGGGAAAATGATTGTTTCTGAGGTAATAAGGATTTTGATGTTTGGGACACAAACTCTGGTGGTAGGATTGGTGAGGTGAGGCCTGTTCCTTCAGATTCACACAGTCATACAGGTCTCCGCAGGTCACAGCATGGACTGCAGGTGTGAGGGAATCTGGAAAGGCTGGAAATGTTGGTGGGCAACATATGTTCCATGGGTCACAGGAGGGCTAACCTGAATTTGGAAAGTAGTGGTCATGACTGGCTGGAGTAAGGTGCCTTCTGTATGTCAACCAGCAGGCAGCTGGATTGACCTAAGGGAAGGGTAACCCTCATGAAGGCAAGGAGCGTTCAGTTTGTAAACAGGCCCAACAGAAAATCCTAGACCTGCCCGGTAAGAGCTTTCCGGCCTCTGGTTAGACGGGTGGAAGGGCCGTGTACTGGCTGGAAGTTGGTGTCTGTGAACAAACCAAGGACGTGTTCTGGGAACCCTCCTGGATGGAGAGGGCCTGACCCCACAGCAGGAAGGACAAGGCCACAGGTGCGAGGACTGTGTCCCGACCTGCTGTGTCTGCTCGGTCCCCTTCCACTCGGTCATTGCAGCTTGTTCTGAGCTCCGTGCTCACAGGCTTGTGTCACTTGGCGAGGATCTGGAGTGGGCCTTAGAGATACAGTCTCTCAAGTAGGATGAAGATCAAGGGCAAGAGCAGGTCGCTCAGTGTGGGAGGGAGGACGGTCAACAGCGAAGAAGGAAGGAGGAGCTTCCGGTAGTTAACGGAAGCAGGTACTAACTGCTTTTAGGCATTAACACTGGCAGGGAGTGTGACTCACCCCAGACGACAGGCCCTTGGCAGCAGGGGCCATGTCTGCTTTGCGGGCCATTCCCACCCCGGCTAGCACAGCGCCTGCCACATGGTGAACTGTCACTATGATTTGGGATGGAGGACTGTGTATCCTATATGAAGTCTTGAAAAATAGACATTTTCTGGGCAATTGAGCGTCAGTCTTACTTGAAGGCAGGAAAGGATCCTCTCGGTTCCCTGTAGTTCTAGAAAATGCCATTAGAGTTACAGTGTAATGATTTGTCAAAGTTCACTGTGAATTGCACCTTTAACCGCTTTGTCCACACACACACACACACACACACACATATGCGTGCACACATGCATGTACACGCATGGACACACACAGGTTTAGTATCCTCCTTCTGAGGTTCCATGGCCACTTTCCTGTCTGTCTTCCGTGTGGCTTCCAGCCCCCTCACACTGCCCTTTGTCCAGGTTTGTGCTTGCCCCGTTCTCTTCCTTCACTATCTTACCAGCTCTCTGAAGCTCTTCACCAGTCTCTCCCCATCGGGGAGACCAGGCCTCGCTCCCACTCTGGCTGTCCTTTTCTGTCCTAGTCCTGTTGGGAGCTCTGGTGGTGCAGTGCCTAAAGCACTTGACTGCTCACCAGAAGGCTGGTAAACCCACCAGCCACTCCTCAGAAGGAAGGTTGGGCAATCTACTTCTGTACTGATACTGCCTGGGAGATCCAAGGAGGGGTCGCTGTGAGTTGGATCCGACTTAATAGCAGTGAGTTTGGTTTTTGGTTTGGTGTTATCCTCTTGACACCCGAGGCTTCCCCCACCCCTTCCACAGAGCTCAGTGCCAGGGTGGTGGCAGATGTGATGGTGGGGATGGTGGAGGGAGCAGTGGCCTACTGGCCATGCTGGGGGCCATTCACATGTGCGAGCTCCCAGAGACTCAGCTCTCTGGTCCTCTTCCTTGGTGACATGGACAGGACTGGAGAGTGCCAAAGAGCCTTCACACCCCTGGCCCATTAGGTCTCATGTCTCCTTGGTGAAGAAGGCGGAAGAGGGCTTAGCACCTACCCAGGTCGCTGACCCGCTGAGGCCAGCGAGCCAAGTGTGGTTGCAGGAGGGCCACTCCCTTCTGCCTCTGGGCCCAGAGATGCCCCTGGGGCTGGTTGTCAGCACTCTGTCCTGGCTTGGTGGGGACGTGGCCAACTTGACTACTCAGCCAGACATGTGTGAACTTAAAACTGTAGCTAAGGTCCGGGTCTGGGATGAGAGATGCTTGCTGACACCAGACATGGGAGTGGGCCCTGCTCACCTCATTTTTCTAGCTCTGTCCTTAGAAGGTAAGCACTGACACCCCTCCTTCGTGTGTCGACTGAGGAGACTCCCATCCTTCCCTCCCATTTCTAAGGTTGGGGAGCCAAGAGCCTTTACCACTGCAGACCGGAGGAAGGGCCAGCGCTGTGAAGTGAGGCTCTATGATGAGACGGAGCCTTCCTTGATGATGCTATGGTAACCTCCTGCCTCTGGTCCAGACCACAATTCCTGCTGCTGTCCCCAGAGGGGTGGCCACGCTTCGCCAGCCAGGCGACAGGTTTCACATCATGAGAGAAGGCAGTCACAGAGCAGCCCTGTTCCTGTCGGGCCAGGCGTCCTGCACCGCTCCGGTCTGCACCGCGGGCCCCAGATGGAGAGCAGTGCAGGCGGCTCCACGCTGACTGGGGGGCCCGCCTCTTCCGTCTCTGTCCAGCGGTGGTCAGCCTGGCCCCACTGACGAAGAGCAAGGCAGACTTGCCTGTGTGACAACCCACAGAGGGCCTGGGACAGGTGGTGGGCGGGGGGTG